GATTTGGTTGTTGAATGTGCTTGAATGCTTGAATTTTGTTGGGATTTGGTTGTTGAATGTGCTTGAATGCGCTTAAATGCTTGAGTTTTGTTGGGATTTGTTCTGTGAGAAATAGATTTAATGAGAAGGGTAAATTTGTAATTTTACTATTTAAATCAATTTGGGTGTAAAAATGAGTGTCGGTTCATGGGTGTACGTATCACTATCCCTTTAAAAAATATCAAAATTACCCTTAAATTTTCATTTTTTCGTCAATTAAATAGACAAATGTCACGTTAAGTTACCATATAATTATATTTTTTTTGAAAAAATACTGATGTAAAAAAGAAAACACATATAAATTGATGAGATGGCACTTTTTTTTATATATCTGACACTTTTTTTTGTTTGCATGACACTTTTTAATTATAATGTACAAATAGACAATCATTTATTATTAATTAATTAAATTAATTTCCAAAATTAACCTTCTTCTTCCTTATTCTCCCGTTCTTGGCTCTTCCCCTCTCTCTCTCATCCCTGGGCCATCATCCCTCCTCCATCTCTTCCAACTTCTCTTCCCTTTCCATTTTTGCAGTTTATCTCCTTCCCCATTTCATAAATTCCTCCCCAAACAGCTTGAGCAAGTCCTCCGTCTCGATGATGCCGGCAGGCCGTATCGTGAGCTTGGGTTTCCTAATAGTCCCAAGGTGTCCTGGTTCATCGCCCAGAACCAATGGGTTGCTTTCATCTTCAACAACCTTTCTCACGTTCCTCTTTCTTCTTCTTCTTCTTCTTCCCTCTCTTCCCTCTCTTCCCTCTTTCTCAAACCCAGATCTGGGTTTTTCTCAAACACGACGGCCATGGAAGGAGATGATTCGTATAAATTCCATCAACTTCCTATCAAACGTCAACGTCTCCCTACGAAGAATTGGAACCATTTTTTGTCAACGCAACTGGAGCCATAAGTGAAGAACCAGATCTGGGTTTATGGGTAATGCCACCAGATCAGGGGAAGAATTGGAGCTCAATTTTTTTGAATGACCCAAAACAGGAGAAATTATGATGGTACTCCACCGCCGGTTCATCTTCTTCAGCATCGACGAAAAGCAGAAACATTTGGTCTTCATCCTCTCTGCTTGGCAAGAGTAAGCTTCACTCCAGATCTACACTTACTTTTTTTTTTTTTTTGAAATTTTTGTATGTTTGGTTGCTGAGACAAAAAAGAGTGAGAAAATTTGTTCTGTTGAGTTGGATCTTTTGAGTTGTAGATTTGGTATTTGAGTTGAAATTTTTGTATGTTTCGTTGCTGAGAAAAAGGTGAGAAAATTTTGCTGCACATTTTCCTGCTTTCATAGCTCAGATTCAAAAAGGTTGTGAAGAAAGTTTGAAGGTGCTGGGAGTTGAAGAGCTGAAGAATGAAGACTGAGAAAGCGGTCGCAGCTCGCTCCTTTTCAAATTGAAATTTTCGTTTACATCAGGAAATTGATGGGTTTTAGCCTTCTAGGTTTTTAGGCTTTCGCTATCCTTATTATTTTAGTTTGTTGGTGGTGATGATCACCGATGGGTCTTTAGAGGCTCCGGTGAATTTTTGTGTGATGTTTGTGAAAAAAATGTAGGAGCGGTATGTTAATGTATAAAATTGTTAGTTGTATGGTGTTTATTATTTGTATTTTCTATTTTAATGTATGAATTTTCACCAGATTGATCTGGGTTTGAGAAAAACCCAGATCTGGTTTTGAGAAAAAACCCAGATCTGGGTTTGAAAG